TGTCAGCTTCTATATGTTCCTGTTCTCTGGTTTCTATTCCTTCAATGGCCTCTTGCATCTTATCCATTCTGCTTATAAATCCTTCCAGGGATTGTTTCACTTCTGTGATCTCCTTCCTGACATCTGTGATCTCCCTCCGGACTTCATCCCATTGCTCTTGCATTTTTCTCTGCATCTCCGTCAACATGTTCATGATTTTTATTTTGAATTCTTTTTCAGGAGGACTGGTTAGGTCTGTCCCCTTCTCAGGTGTTGTCTCTGTGATCTTTGCCTGTAGTTTTGTCTTTTCATGGTGATAGAGATAGTGTGCAGAGCTGGTACAAGTGACGGCTGGAAGAGCTTCCCTTCTTGTTGGTTTGTGGTCTTCCTCTCCTGGGAGAATAGCGACCTCTAGTGGCTTGTGCGGGGCAGCTGTGCGCAGACAGGGCTTCTGCTTCCTGCCCGGTTGCTATGGGGTTTATCTCCGCTGGTGCTGTGGGCATGGCCTGGCTCTGGCTGCTGCTCCAAAATGGTGGAGCCCTGTTGGAGGGGGAGCTGCTGGGAGGCTAGTTATCTCCGTGAGGGGCCTCTGTGCTCCCTGCTGCCCAGGGGGTTAGAGTGCCCAGAGATCCCCAGATTCCCTGCCTCTGGACTAAGTGTCCTGCCCTGCTCCTTTAAGACTTCCAAAAGCACTCTCCAAACCAAAACAACAGCAACAACAAAAAAAATACAAATAAATTAAATAAATAATTAATTTAAAAAAAAAAAGAAAACACGATTTTCTTTGTCCTCAGGTGCCAGTCTCAGGCACCCGCTCACCGGTCCTGCTGCCCTGTTTCCCTAGTATCCAGGGCCCTGCACATGCACTGTGTCTGCACTCTGGTGCGGATGGGTGGGGCTGGGTGCTCAGCAGTCCTGGGCTCCCTCCCCCTCCCTGCTGTCTCCTCTCCTCCCGCCAGGAGCTGGGGGGAGGGGCGCTCGGGTCCTGCCGGGCCGGGGCTTGTATCTCGCCCCCTTCGCAAGGCGCTGGGTTCTCGCAGGTGTGGATGTGGTCTGGATGTTGTCCTGTGTCCTCTAGTCTCTATTTTAGCAAGAGTTGTCTTTGTTATATTTTCATAGATATATGTCGTTTTGGGAGGAGATTTCTGCTGCTCTACTCACGCCGCCATCTTAGATTAGGGACCCGATTACATTTTTAGTTATGATTATAAGTAATATTTATTTTTTACATATTTTTTCTTTAAAATAAATATTGTGCCAGACATGATTGTACACATTTTATGTATCCTATTTGGTCTCAGTGGCTGGGCTTTGACAGGGACTGTGGTTACCCCTTTGCAAGGAGGCAGGTTCTGCGGAGCTGCTGCATCCCGGGGTCCTCTTGCCTGGCAGGCCACAGAGCTCACCTGTGCCCTCAGGTTCCTGGGCACCCCGGCTTCTGCTTCCTTTGGGAATTGTACCTGTGACTTCATTCTTCATTCTTCTTATTCAATTGCATGGAATCTTTAAAAGAAAAATGTGCTGTTTGCATTAATTTTTATGATCAGAATTAGGGTTGGCAATGCTTGAACAGAGGGTTTAGCGACCTCCCTGTGTTGTGTCGCCATCACACATCCCATTCCAGAGCATGTCATCGCCTGAAAGGGAACCACAGATCCGTGCACAGTCACCCCCGACACCTCCCTCTGCCTGCGCCTGGCCCCACCAGTCTGCATCTGTCAGGATTTTCCAGTTTTTATCCTTCATGCACTTGGGCCTGTGCAGCACATTTCTGCTTCGCTGAGTGCCCTCGGAGCTTCCTCAGCATGGGTGCATGTGTCCATCACCCCTGTCTCCTAGGCCACATACTATGTGTCCGATCACTCGTCAACAGGCATCTGGGCTGCTTCAACCTTTTGTCTACTGAACATCTGTGAGGCATCTTCTCGGGATGAGTTCTTGGCTCCCTCTGGCACATTGCGACTGTTCCCAGGCTCTGTGTGACTCCTCTGGGGCACATCCTTTGTTTTCCTTCTCTAAGAACATGAACAGGAACGTAAACCCGAAATTGTGGGACTGCTGAGCTGACAAGAGAGACGAGACTGGCGGACACCAGCTTGTGGTGGACGGCCAGCTGCAGACCAGGTGACCCGGCCTGATGCCTGGCAGTCACAGTGGTTTGGGGTCTGGGGGGTGGCAGAGGAGATATTTGTCACCAAGTGGATGGGGGTTTGCTTTCCACTTTGTCTTCATGCCTGTTCTGTGGGGCCATCGAAAGCACAGGTGGGACACACATGGTCCCCTGGGGGCAGTGAGTCTGGCAGGTGCCAGGTTGTGTGAGGGGCCCCCATGCTTCCCCATCAGCTGCACGCCTGGAGGTGAGGGGCCCTGTGAGGCAAGTTGCCACATGTAAGGCCATCCTGGAGACACACCCCAGGCCCCTGGGTGGCTGGGCCGCTGTGAGCCTCGGGTTGGGCTGCCCTGGAAGTGTGGGTGCAGTGAGGGAGCCCCAGCCTCCCAGCTCCTGGCTACATCCCCGCCCTGCCTGGGGGCCCCTGTGGGCCTCTTCAGGGACCTGTATTCTGCTTGTTCCTCTCCTTTGTCCATCTTACACCTTTCTGTGTGTCCCTGGAGTGTTTGGTTCCAGGCACAGTTTTCTGTAATTTGTGTTAATTGGGAGAAAAGTGTCACTCTTACAGCATTAACAATTGGATGCCCAGACCCCAGCCTCCCTCCACCTCCCCCCCACCCCTCGTGGCTCCTTGTCCCCCCACCCATCCAGGCAGTGAGGCCAGAGTGTCACCCACAGCCAGCTCTGGGCTTTGGGCCTGGTTGGTGCTGGCAGCTGTTGCTGGCCACTGTCTGGCCTCACGTTACTGCCTCTTTGGTCCTGACTGTCCGTTCAAGGGCCCCTGGTCCTGTGTTTCTTCATGGGGGTCTTGCAACATCCCCCAGCCATGATAGGCCCCTGCATGTGGGCTCTGTTGGGAGGGAAATGGCTGCACCCTGAGCTCCTCCTGTGACCTTTGGGGGCTTTGTCTTCTGGCCCTTTCACACATGGCATCCTGTCAGCATTGTAGATGGATGGAGCCTTGTGCCCTCTGAAGGCAGCTGGGGGTCACAGGGTTTCTCATGCCTCCTGTGTGTCTTTGTGGCCCATCTGTCCGGCTCTCATGTGTGCTGACCTGGGTGGTCCTTGCGCTGGTTGGTGGCCAGTGGCCATGCCTTCACAGGAGGTAGAGGACTGTTGGGTACCGGAGCTCTCCGACCAGCCGCGGAACCCCACCTGTGGGGCTGGGTGTTGGCCTTCCCTGCAGGGTCTCTGAGGAGAGGGCCTGGGTGCTGCACTGGCCACTTTTGTTGGCTGGGTCCCCACCCCACACCCACCTCCCTGTCCCGTGGCCCCTGGGGGTGTGCATCACTTCTGCCCCTGGGCCACTTCCTCTTACCCTCTGAGCTGGACCGAGCAGCACCCAGGGAGGTGTGTCCAGCAGTCAGTTTGCTTCATTTGTTTTCTCTTCCCCTGTTTCTTCTCCTAGTTTATAAATTGGTATTTTCACTATTGTTTAGTCATGTTTCAGGAAGAAGGGATGATAAAATGGAGTCATGTGTTCGCGTGTGTCTGGTGTGTGCGCATGTGTGTGAACTCTCGGCAGCCCACGTGCCCTCCCGAGGGTGCCTTGCTGGGCCCTATCTGCCCTCATGTCCCTATTGCGGGGTCACTGGCCTGCGTCTCTGGTCACTGAGGTTCAGTGTCTTTGCCCAGTTACTGGCTCATCTTCACATCTCTGCTGTTGTCACATCCCCTTTTCTCTGTGGATGAGGCCCTTGAGCCCTGCCACCCTCCTCGGGCATGACTGTGTGTCCCCGTGTTTCTGCTGGGTTCTCAGTCCCATCCATCTGGAGCCCAGCTGCTGCCCAGGGGCTGGGAGGGGGTGCCAGCTCGACACCCACCCCTTTTCCCCAGGGGTGTGTCTGCTGTGCCTGCCGCTGCCTTTGTCTCTGCGGGAAGCACCGCCCATCCTCAGGCAGTGTGCAGCCTCGTCCCCCGGGTCACAGTGTCTCTGGGCGCGAGTCTTCTCACTAGTCAGTCTGTTTGTTCCCATGACAATGTAAGTCTTGACATGAAAGATAATTTGAGCTTTTGGGAGCTTGAAGTTTAGGTTGATGTGACTCCTCTGATTTTTGAGGGAAGTGAGTTTACTGGATGCATCTGAAGAGAACAGTAAATGTTGAAGCATGCTGTAAGTCTGGGGAAAGGAAAGCAAAATACCTCTAAAAACCGAAATCAGTCAAAGGGAGAAATAAAGTTTAAAGTCCATTTATTGCTTACAAACTGCACTCCAGGGCCTTCTGTCTTTCTTGCTCCAGCAGAAGTAAAAATGGCCCCCCCTCCCCTCAGGTACAGATAAGCCCTCTGTTGCCCAGGTAATTACCCATGGGTATGGAGATGAACTTTTCTCTGCCCCTGAGGAATGATGCAAATGCATTAAAGCCATGCTTCTCTCCACCCTTGAGCACCTGTTGCTATGCAGATGTACTAAAGCCAGGTGAGATATCCTGGAAATACTGCACTTTTACCTACACATGTATTGAACTCTTCTTTCCTTCCTTCCTGTCTTCCTTCCTTTCCTCCCACCTGCCTGCCTGCCTTAGGACAGTTGGGCCAGACCCTGTTGTCAGGGCTGGTCACAGCAGCAACCAAAGACCCTGCCCTCAGGGAGCTCCTTCCCTGTGGGGACAGGTCCCCAGCATCCTGCTCTGGAAGGGTAAGTAAATGCACAGTCAGGGAGACATGGGGAGCCTTGGAAGCAAGTCGGGTGGAGAAACCAGGGAGCCCCACAGTGGAGCAGGGTGCCCAGCCGAGGCCCTGGCCTGTGTGGCTGGTAAGGGAGGCCACGTGGCCTGTGTGGCTAGTCAAGGGAAGACACCTGAGCCTGGGAAGCAGAGACTGAGGGGAGATGTGGTCTGCCTGCAGCTCAGCTCCAGGAAAGTTGTGATCAGGCTCCAAGGAGCCCGTCCCTGCAGCCTGGGCTGAGTGTCAGCCTCCATGAGTACAGCACTGGTGTGGGGGTCGCTGCTCTGGGGCTGTGAGCTCCAGTGGAGCATGCCCTTCTCCCCCTTGGGGCTGCGGGCAGCCGTATGCAGGAGCCAGTGTATATGGAGGGAGATGAGGGGATGGGGAGAGGTGGCATGAACGTGCCCAGCCCAGTGAGGTTTCATGGGGGCAGTGATGAGGTAATAAGCAGAGATGCTTACCAAGACATGTCCTGTTTGATTTCCCTGCAGGAGAGCCTGTGTTTGCACGCAGTTAGAAGAAAACCACCTGCACCAATTAGCAGAGTTGACGTCCTCCCTGGAAGTGCAGCAAGTGACAGATGTCGAGGGGACCCAGGTGTCAGGTAGTGAGCAGCCTGTGGGGCTCTCGGAGGAGCCGGGCCCAGGTATGTTTCTGTCACTGCTGCCAAGGCCACAGGCGCCTGGCTGATGGGGAGCGTTTGTGGGAGGGTGGGCACCCTGGCCGTGATGGCCTCCAACGTGAGTCACATGGACACGCTGGTCCTCGACTCTAGTGCTGGTACTGGAGGCCTCCGGTGTTCTCACGCTGGGGTCTCAGGGCAAGCATAGGGAGTTGGGTGCATTAGGAGAGGGCCTGACTGGGTGCAGTGCTGGGAGATGGGCAGGCCTGGACTGATTCCAGGAAGGGGTGGGCAGCCAGGTGCTTGCTCCTCCAGCTCAGCCCGCCTGCAGTGGAGTGAAGCCGAGGGCTGAGGGGCCAGGCGGAGGGCTGCTCAAGGGCATTGTGGGGCCAGGGGGCCAGGGTGCTCTAGCTTAATGCCTGCCCTGGCTATGGTTCCCTCAGGGCTGGGCAGGGCAGCTGAGGAGCAGCCCTTGAGAGCCAGCCGCTGAGCACCTCTTCCAAGGCTCAGCTCCTTCTCACGCCCAGAAAGGTGACAGGCCTGGCCAGGGCAGCTCAGGGGGGCCTGGGTCCCCCATGGCTGAGAAGTCATATGGTACCCAGACTGAAGGGTCAGGGTTGGTGGCCAGGTGTGGGTGGCTCAGGCTGCCGTGTGCTCTGAGTCTGAGGCAGATGGAGGTCAGTGTCCTCCTTCTGTAGCCCATGGGTGTCCCCAGGGTCATGCTGACTGTCCTCCCGCCTTCTCGTCCCTTCACAGAGCTTGCATAGGTGCCGCTCCAGAGTGCATGGGACCCGGCCTCAGAGGTGCAGACAGAGGTGGCGGCCAGCGTCCTGGGTTTGGAAGCTGAGCACAGGGTTAAACTCTCACTTCTTGACACAGAGCTCAAGGAAGAAGTTGCCCATCTACAGACAGAAAGTAGGAATTTACACGGGAGGTTGCGGCGTGAAATCTGCCTCAGAGGGAACTTGAGGGAAGTAAGTTGTGACCCCTCCCAGCAGGACAGCGCTGAGCTGCTTAGGCTCCGTGTGGATGCGGCTTGTACCAGCCATGGTTGGACAAGTCCACCGAGACCTGGCTGCCCATCCCCTGCTGGCCCGTTGGGGTGTTGGCTTATCACCTTCCTCAGACTCAGGACTGGACTCCACCCAAGCCAGGGCCTGAGTTTTGGTCTGGTTGCTCCTTCCACCTGCTGCCAGGGGTAAGGGACTGGCCTTGTGCCCTCCAGGGCTCCAGGAAGAGAGGCCACCTGCAGGGGTCCTGCTGACTATGGGTCGTGCAGCCCAGTGGGTGCTGCGGTTGAGCGGCAAGGCCTCCATGTGCCGACAGGGACTCCGTGATGTGCTCTTTGCTCCGTCACCGGCGGTCCTGCCACTCCCAGCATGGGGTGTGCAGCACTGTTCAGGGAATAGAGTTGGCAGGCCTGGAACTCAGCTCTCGGACATCCCCAGGAAGCTCTTCTTGGATTTTCATTCTCCATCCAGTTTCCTTGGAAGCTGTTTCCTGCAAGCGGGGCCGATCCTGTCTGTACAGCCAGCACCGGTGAGGGCCTGGGCGCATGGTGCGGGAGGGCTCTGCGGCGCCCGCTGGGCAGCAGGCGCTGGGGGAGTCTGCCTCCTGCCCGTGCGAACTGATGCGCATGGCTGAAGGGCAGCCTTCTGATGCTCAGGTGCTTGTACCTGGGCCTGTGTTTCCTGGCCACTTTACCTCCCTAGATCCGTTGCTGCAGGTGGGTGGGGAGCTCCTCACCCACTCCCCTGTCAGTTTTTGCCTGTTTTGAAGCTCTGTTACACATCCATCCACTGGGATCATATGCCTTCCTGAAAGATGCACCCTTTTATCATACTGAGATGCCTTTTCTCTCCTATAGTGTTGTTAGTGTTGGAATCCACCTTCTCTTAGGTCAGTGTAGTCATTCTAGCCTCGTTTGCATTTCTTATGAACGATGACCCTTTATTCTGTCCATTTTACTTTTACTCTATTGAGAGTAATTCCCTGAAGTTAGTGGCAGGCCCCATGAGTTTACCCACACTTTGGAGGCCCGCTGCCAGTGCTGGGGCCCAGGTTCCCACACTTCTGTCTGACGTGTTCCCTCCCCCCACTTTCAGGCTCAGTTGCTCACAGAACCCAGGCACACAGTTTACTAGTTCAAGTTTATCATAAGGGATACAAACAGGAACACCCAGATGGAAGGGACATACAGGGCGAGGTGTGGGGTGGCACACAACTTCCATTCCCTCTGGACACACACCCTGAAGTGCTCCGGATCCCAGCATTTAGGTTCTTATGGAGCCTCCCCTATGTAGGCATCTTTGCTTAACCACTAGCCATTGGTGATTGAGCTCAACCTCTAGCACCTCTCATCCTGAGAGTTCTCACCCTCTGGTCCCACAATGGTCTTTCTGGGGACCAGCTCCACCCCAAGGCCCTCCAGGGGTCCCCAGCCACCTGCTGTCTCATGAGCACACAGAAGACACTCATCACTCCAGAGAGGCCACGGGTTTTAGCAGCTGTCTGTCAGGAACTGGGAACAGAGACCAGACACCCTGTTCCTGTTAGATTACACATATGGGCAGCATATATTTGGTGGGTACTTTTTTCTGCCATCCTGACAAAGTCTACCTTTTAATTTGAGTGCTTGGTCTGATAACATCCCATGTTGTGGACATGGTCAGACTGACGTCTCCTAGTTTACTGTGAGTTTTCTACATGGTACATCTGTGTTTCTTTGTTCCTTTATTCTTTCTCCCTCTCTTCCTTCTTCCTTGCCTTTTGGATGACTGGAATATTTTAGAATGGAGTTAACAGGCCTGTTGCCGTCTAAGTTACACCCTTTCCAGTGTGTTTCTAATGGCTGCTGCAGGGACGGGACTGTGTGCTCTTCTGGTCTGAGGCTGATCACCATGCCAGTTCACATGGAGCCTTAGGACCTTGTACTTTAAAATAGATACACCATGCACTATATAAAACAAAAATGGAAAACTCAACCAAAACCAAATGCAGACACTAATGGGAGGGGAAGGAGTTTCTGAAAGGGGAGCAGGTGGTCTGAGTGGTTGGGGAGCCCGTGCTGAGGGCGGTTCCAGAACAGGCTGTCCCTGCAGGGCTGCAGGGTCCTGAGTCGGCTCTGGGTCTCCGCAGAGGCTGGTGTAGGAGTGTCTCTCCTAAAGGGATGTGGGCTCATGATCCAATCCTGGGTCCCAAGCTGAGGCAGTGACTGGAGAAGTCCTGGCTGAAAGGAAAGGAACGACACATAGCAGCAATTCACCGGAGAGTTCCGCTTTATTAGGGAAAGGTGCTGGGTTATATAGGAAGGGGCATGAATTGATTGAGGTGTCACTTCTACGGGGCTGGTGGCTGTTGGCTAGGTGCTGGGATTGGGAGGGGGGCGAGAGGTGATTGGGCTTCAGGTGGCGCCGGCGGGAACTGAGGACCCCGAAGAGAAGCTGGAAGTTTGCCATCTTACTGGTGGGGACCCTTCACTGGCTCTCCCTGCAGGGTGCACGGTCCTCAGGAAAAGGGAAAGAAGGGACACACACGCCATAGTCCAAGCAGGTTTATTGCTAAACCTGAGAGGGAACCCCCTGTTTTGGCGAGCAGAACAAAGAAAGCATCTCTTACAGGCTAAGAGGCTTTTTACAGCCAGTTTTTTGGCAGGCTTTTGAGGGGAGGGATCAGGGAAAAAGTGGGCCTGTGGCCTGCTGACGTGCCCTCCGGAGAATACTTGTAGCCTAAGATGTAACCCAGTCTCTCTGGGATGGTGGGTCACTTATTCAAAAAGGTGGTCCTCCGGTCCTCGGGTCCAGGCTCTATCATTTCTGGCTCTAAAGGGGTGTAGGGAGACGGGTCACCATTCTTTTCTTGGATACTTCCTGCTGAGGACGGGGGGCAGTGAAGGGGGTTTTCTGATATTTGGAAAACCCATTTGGAGGTGTTGTCGAGTAGTTGCCCTGAAGATAGCTGCCATGCCATCCTTTAAAAACTTTGGAATAAGTTAATTTAGCAGGGAAGGAAAAGAAAGAGGAGGGTGATAAAGGCTAATGGGGCCAGGAGAGCTGGAAGGTGACTGAGGGTTGTAGGAGCTGAGAGTGTAAGACTTGGACTCGGGCTGGGGAGAGAAGGGCTAGAGCACGGCTGCTGAGAAGGTCGGAGGGGTACCCCTCTTTCCCCAGGCATCTAAGGAGGGGGACTGTGGGATGTAGAATCATTCTTTGAGGGTCCGCAAAGCAAGAGGTCGTCGATGTACTGGAGCAGGCGGCTAGGGGAGAGGACGAGGGATTGGAGGTCCTCTGGCAGTGCTTGGCCAAAGACAGGGGGGCTTGTCCCGAAATCCCTGGGGAAGAACTATCCAGTGAGTTGGCTCAACAGATACGGGGTCTGTCCAGGTGAAGGCAGAAAGTTGCTTGTTGTCAGGGCTGAGGGGAATGGTAAAGAAGTTGTGTCTGAGGTCCAGGACAGTGAGGTACTGAGTACTGGGGGGATATGGCAGAGGAGGGTGTAGGGGTTGGGGACTGCTGGGTGGGTGGGAACAACAGCTTCGCGAATCTTCCGAAGGTCTTGGACTGATGGGAAGGAGCCCTCAGGTTTTTTTACAGGAAGGCTGGGACTATTGTTGGGGGCAGTGTGTAGGGATGAGGATCTGGGCCTTAAGAAGGTGGCTGACGGTGGGCTGGAGGCCACGATGGCCATCAGGGCTCGTGGGGTATTGGTTAACTGTGAGCTCCAGTAGGATCTCTCGGGGCTGTTTTGAAGGGTTGGTGGTGTGAGGCTATAGAAGGGTTTTTCGTGTCCTGAACAATAGGGTAAACTTGTGATTTAATAAGCTGTACCTCCTTAAGGGGTATGACTGGGAGAGTGAGGGAGGGTTCCGAGGGAAGTGAGGGGAGGTGTAAGGACACCCCCATGCAGTGGAGAATATCTCCTCCCAGAAGGGGCTGGGGCAGTGGGGCATTACGGGAAAGGATGAGTGAAAGTAAGGGCCCAAGGAACAATATAAAGGAGGGATTTGGGCTGGTGTTTCTATTAAGCCTTTCATCCCAGCGACCCAGATAGAGGAGGGGAGCAGAGGTCCGGACTATTCAGTAGGCACAGAGAGGCTGGCCCCTCGACCAGGACAGAAACCTGAATTCCTGCCATCACCATTGTTACCCGGGATCCACCGGTGTCGTTGTGGAGGGGGCCTTGGGATCCAGGCTGCTTCAATCTGTTGCTGAAGACAAGGCCGTGAGGGCTGCCAGGTCCTCTCTAGATATGTTGGGTCACCTAGAGGGGAGAGAACTCAAGGGAGGGGCTGACTTCCCTAGAGGGCAATCCACTCTCCAGTGACCCCACTGTGTGGACAGGACTTTGTAGGAGGCCTGGGATGGGGCAAGCTCCTGCCCCGGGATCCCGACTGCCACAGCGGAAACAGTTGCCAGGCGGGTGTTGGGTGGAGCCCTTTGCAGGCTTGTCAGCGGGAGGTCAAACTAGAGAGGCCAGGATCTGATATTCGGCTTTAGCCTCTTTTTCTTTCTGAGTTTTTTGTTCCTCATTCCGGTTTTTGAAAACTAAAGCCAAGGCCTACAAGCTCCTTGTGGGATGTTTGGGGTCCATTTTCTAAGTTTTGGAGCTTTTTACGAACATCTGGCTGAGACTGGGAAATGAAGTGTAGGTGTAGGAGAATAAGGCCCTCAGGGGGTTGGGGCTGGTGTGTGCGCACCTCTGAAAGGCGGTTCATAATGAGGGCTGGGTTTTCATCTGCCCCCTGGGTCATTTCCCTGAGGCACTCCTGGTTGACCTTTTTACTTTCATTTCTTTCCATCCCCTGCCAGGAGGCAAGTGATCATGTGATCACGACCTGCCCTCCCAGGGCCCCCGAGTGGGGTGTCCTTTTGGGGTTTGGGTCTCTGCCCTGGGGACCACCGGGGCTGCCGCAGCGTGGTTAGCAGGGTGCTGGCGCTGCGACTCAGCCTGGTTTTCGGCTGCACGCAAACGCATTCCCTCTTGTCATCCGTGCGGGTGGACGGGAGGATGAGGTAAATGTCCCCCAAGTGAGGTCGTACGTTTGAGTGACGTAGAGGAACTCTTTCCTGAATTTGTCATTATTTTCTGAGAAGGACCTCATTTTTTGTTCAGTACGCTCCAGATCATTAATTGAAAAGGAGACATGAACGCGAATGGGCCTTTCAATGCCTGCTGCCCCTGTGGAGGGGCGGGATGGGGCGGAGGGCAGCCTGGGGGGGTGTGGGTGTGAGAACGTGGCTGCAGCGGGAGAGGGTGGGTTTGGGGAGGGAGCTGGTTTGCTGGAGGCAGACAGGCCGTTGGATGTCGGAAAGGAAGAGGGGGAGCCGATCAGGGGGAGGGACTTGGACTTTGCGGAGGCTGTTGGGGAGGCGGAGGGCCGTCAGCCAGGCCAAGCTCATCGGCAGAGGAGGGCAGCGGGGGTCAGGCGCGGTGTTGTCAGGGCAGGGGTAGGGGTTGTTTGGCAAGGATTTGAAGAGAGTAGAGGGAAGGACGAAGGGAGGGGCTGCTTGCGGAGCTGAAGAGGGCTTGGATTTAGGGAACCTCAGACCGATTGCAAGTCCTCTGGAGGGAGTTATCAGGATCTCAGAGAATCTGCAAATCAAAAGTGCCCTCAACTGGCCAGTGTGACCTGTTTTTGAGCTTGTAGTGGGGCCAAATGGAAGTAGAGTAAAAGATCAATTTTTTCGGTTTAATGTCTCCTTTTAATTCCAGTTGGGAAAGATTACCTAGGAGACAACTGAGGGGGTGTCTCCTGATGTTTTTGAGGGAGAATTGCCCATTGTGTAAAGGTGAGAAAAGGTGGCCGAGGTTGGGAAACAGGCCGCTGGGACATCTCCCTGCTATTGGCTTCCCAAACGGAGTCCATGGGCCCCAGCAGCTGGAAAAGATTTTCCTGACACTGAAAGGAAGCGTCCCTGCTAGGCAGAGTGCGGGAGGCCACAGAGGAGGGGAATGGGTGAAAGGGAAAAGGGGACGGCGGATCAACTTTGTCTAGGTGCCAAGAGAGAGCCGCTGAGGCCAAAATCTTACCCTCCTGGGAATTACAGTGGATTGATGCCAGTGGTGGCTGTGTAGATTGAGGTCTGGCAGGACCGTCCCTGGACCGGAGTTCGCAAGGGGTGTTGGGTGAGGGAGGGAAGGGAAACGGGGTGAGACAGAGAAGGCTCTCAGGAACTAGGCGTCAGCCCAGGACGAGCTGCTGCCGCCCACTGTGTCCGAGGCTGCAGAAGAGCCCCCGCTCTCGGCTCCCACTCCTGGTTTCAGCAGCAGATGGAATGGAAGAAAGGAAGCAAACTCCACAGTCCAAGCAGGTTCGCTGCTAATCCTGAGAGGGACCCCTCTGTTCTGGAGAGCAGAACAAAGAAGGCGTCTATCACAGGCTAAGAGGCTCTTTATGGCCAGGTTTTTTGGCAGGCTTTTGAGGGGATGGGTCAGGGAAAAGGGGGGCTTGTGGCTTGCTGACGTGTCCTCTGGAAAATGCTTGAGTAAGATGACACCCAGGTCTCTGAGATGGCGGGTGGGCTTACTCAGAAAGGCAGTGCTCCTGTCCGGGCTCTGTCACTCAGTACGCGCAGAGACAATGTCACAGGAAAATTGAATTAAATCCCTGGGTTTACAATAATGTTAACTGGAAAATGAACTCAAGTAGCCTGCAAACCGTGTAACCATTAACAGGGGGCAGTTTCTTTTTATCTCCCTTTTATCTGAGTCTCAGGGTCACAGGTAATGCAGACAGCTGATTCTGTGGAAACCAAGACATCACGCCCCAAGGTTCTGAGGAGGAGCTGGTGCAAGCTGCTACTTACAGGTCTGTGCTCGTGAACACCACCGCCTCCCCCATGATTTCCCCTTTCAAAGCCCTAACTGCTTGTGCCTCAGGAGGACAGTGACTCTAAGGCTTGAGCCTGCCCCCTCCCTCATTTGCTGGCAAAGTAATAAACATTCCTTTCCTTTCCTGAAAACCTCGTGAATGTGTTTTGATTTGTCTTTGGTGACAAAGACTGGTTTTCAGTAACAAAATTTTGGCAAGCCAGCCAGGAGGGTCTCTGCATCCCAGAGGTATGACCCGCTGTCCTGCGACTTCCGACAGGCAGAGCACTGGACCTCAGCAGCCCCCCAGGGCGACCCCCGGCAGGTGTGGGCAGTGAGGAGGGGTGGTCCAGGGACTTGACAGCCCCCAGCTCCAGCTGGACACTGGGGAGGCCCCCGCCCACAGACTCTGCTCCACCCACAGCAGTCCTCACCCCAAGAATCTCTCGGTTCTGGGTTCCCTCTGGGCGAGGCTTCTCATCTGTCTGGCAGCCCTGCGCTCACCTCCCTGCCCTCCTGTGGACAGACCACATTCTCCCTCAGCCACAGGGACCTTTCTGTTGTGTGAGTCCAACAGCTCTGCCCCACGTCCCTACCCGGCCAGTCCAGCCTCATCTCTTCCCCTGCCACCCCAGCTCTGGGTCCAGCCTCTGGGTCTGGAGGTCGTCCAGCTCAGGACACGGGTCCTGGCTCGAGACCTCAGCTCGGGTCATGCCCCTGCCAGGCCATGCCTCTGTCTCCATGCTCTTTGCATCTGACCAAGTCCTTCTTGTGTCTATGACCTGCTGTGAGAAACCTCACAATTGGTGATTTAAAACGGTCACAGCCCTGAGACCGACAGGCAGCCCTGAGGCCCTGCAGCCCCTCATCCAGGTCAGCCTGGAGAGAGGCCCCTGGGCCCCGTGCAGGGGTTCCCTGGGACACAGAGTGCCCAGAATCCCTCCTTCAGGTGCTGGGGACAGGGCTGTGGAGGCCCCGACCAGAACCCTCACTGCCTGGGTTGGGGCCAGCTGGTGGCTCTGTCCCTGCACACCCACTGTGCGTGCGCTGGCTCTCTGCATCTGTCTCCTCTGGGCTGAGTGTGGTCCCCAGGTGTGGGCAGGTGCTGGACATGGGAGAACGTCCCCTGGCCTGCAGCACCCTCAGAGGGACCCAGCCTGCCAGAGTCCAGCCTCCAGCCCATGGTCACTCGGCCCTGGCAGCCTCACTGTGCCACCTGGGCTCCTGGTGGCAGCTGCATGGCAGCCGGGGTGCCTGTGGGTGTCTCCTCCTTCACCGCAGTGGGGACCCTCCCCCTGTGAGGGTTTTCCTCACCCACCAGGTGTGGGGCCGGCACAGGTGAGGCAGCCTCAGCTCCTGCTCGGGCAGCTTGGGGTAACTGGGTCAGGTGGCAGGGCTCGGCACACTTGCCCATGGACTGGAGCACTGTCCCTGTGGTGGGGAACACGTACCCATGAATCACCAGGGCATCCAGAACCGTGCAGGGGCTGCAGGAGGGTGAGGAAGGGTGGGGAGGCAGGCCCGCCCCCTCTGGGTATCCTGATCAGACCCTTACCACAGGTGGGTGTGACCCCAGGGTGCTGCATAGAGTCACCCTCTCCCAGTTCCTGTCTCACTGCTGCCTCCTCGGTGCCCTCTGCTGTGTCCTCCTCACTGCCCCTGGTATGGGGGCACCGGGGCAGTCCTGGGGGCTTGATGATCCCACCCAATCCCTAGGTTGAAGACAGAACAGAAGCTTCAGTGGCTCCTGTCCCCTCCGGATGCCCACCTGGGGCTGTGGGCACACCTGCCCACCTCTCCAGGTCACACCCCTGCTCCCTGCACCTGCTCCTCACCAGCCTCCATCTCAGGAGAGGGGATGCCGAGCCCAGACCCTGGGGATCATCTGCCACTTCTCAACAGCTGCCCTCTCCTAACTGTCCACAAAGGCTGCCAGCTGTCCCTTCCCAGCCATTGGTGACCACCATCCACTCCTGCTGACCCGGACTGTAGGAACAGCCACCCACCAGTCCTGCCTGCCCCCAAGCCGCCCAGGCCCAGTCCCTCAGCAGCCAGACAGACTCTGAACTTGGTCCTGGGGTGGCTTCTGCTGGTCCCTCAGGGCTACCCATGCCAACATGTTCCCATGACCTCCATGAGCCAGCCCCCACTTCCTGGCTTTCCTCACCTCCAGTGGAGGACTGACCCCCCACTGCATGAGGCCCCAAACTTAGAGTTTGGGGGCTCTTTGTGGAGAAGCATAAGCATTGAGGAGCAATCCTGGGTATTCCTATCAGGAAGGAAGGTGCACACTCCATCCCATGGCACATGACAGCCGGCCTGGGTGACTTTTCTCCAAACTCCAGACCTGCTCCTGTCTCTGGGCCTCAGCTGACCCCACAGGGGCCTCCCCACACGTGTGCACTGCTGCTCCCCACTACCTCAGGTCTGTGGTTACTCAGCTCCTTGTCACACCGCTTCCTTGGCCACCCGGCCTAAAGTGGCCTCCCCAGGCCCCCTCTGCTCCTGCTTGTATTCCACCAGCCCTGAGCTCCTGACTGCTCCCTGTCATTGGTTTTATCGCTTGGAGAATGTTCTGTAAGTGGAGTCACTCAGTCTCTGACCCTCTAGATTTAGGTGGAGGATGGTTGGCCCCTGATCCTCACTGACTAGTTTTCCATAACGTGGATGGACCAGGGTTTTCACCCTCACCTATGGAAGGACATTTGGGGGTCTTTGCACTGGGGCTGTTAAAGCTACCTTGACCATTCTTGTGCAGGTTTGTGTGTGGACATCAATTTTCAGCTCTTGGAAAAACACCAGGGAGCTGGATGGCTGGATTGTTAGGAGTGTGCTCAGTGAACACTTGCCATCTATCGATCTGAGAGAAACCCTCATCTAGGATATGTAACTAATGCCCGTGGAGGTAAAAGGCAGTCAGACCATCCACCAAAGGATGGGCAAAGATTGGATGAGGCACTTCCCCAAAAGAAACCCAAGTGGGACAAAGAACCTGAACAGATGCTCCATGTCATTACTCCTGAGGAAATGCAAGTCGAAACCCACACCTCCGGCTTTCCCCCCTAGCAGAGCTGTCCTGAGGGACAGGGGCTGCCTCAGGCAGAGCACCTCGAATCTCACTGATCTCAGAGCCTCCGATGCCCCTCCAGGCTTGTGGGGCCTCTGCCAGAGACCTGAGCTGGCTCCTTTCCAGCAGCGTGTCCGGGGATATGCTTTCTGGGAAGAGGATTTGCATTTCTCATGCGCTTGGCATGTCCTATGGCTCCAGCCTGCTCACCTTTGGAAGGCACATGTCAGCCATCTGAGAACCTGGAGCGGGAGTCCGGCCCAAGGACAGTTCCAGAATTACTGGCTGCATGAGAGTGGTGCACAGCACTAAGCTTGCCTGCAGAGGGCTGTCTGGGATCCCCAGAATCCTGCCGTTTTCTAAGCAAAGCCCTAAGATCTTTAAAAAGACAGCAATGTTAGGATCTGGACCAGAAAACACGTCTCTGAGCACCCAACACCAGTTATAATTCTCTCCAACCCAGGGTTACTTCATCTCCGGCAAGGCAGTGCTGGCCTCACTGCAGAAGCACTGCGCCCTGGCGTGACCTTCCGCTGGTGGGGACACAGCCAGTCCAGGTGGGACGTCAGTTCCCAGAGAGACAGCCCCGTGCCCACCCTGGTGCTCACTCCTCAGGGCCCGACACTGGCTTTCCTCCTCCAGGCTCACTCGCCCCCAGTCCACCACAACTCCCTGCTGCTCTGGGGTCCCAAGGTCTGCAGAGGCTCCACCCTGGCTGTGACTTTGCACAGATCATCCAACCTTCTGGATGTGAGCGTCAGCACTGGAGGAGGGGGACGGAAGACCCGCCTGATGGTCAGGAGGATGCAAAGCCCTGCAGAGAAAGGTGCCAAGTGATGGCAAAGTGACCACACCAACCCGGGAACAGGGTCTCCAGGGCTCGAGGGTGGGATGCGGGCAGAGGACGTGGACAGTGTCTGACCAGGGCAGCCTGGCAGGGTGGCCCCTGAGCAGTACAAGAGGAGACATTAGACAAGGATGATGAGAGGACAGAGGCTTCCAAGGAGGAGGATTTCAGTATCGGGATCCCAGAGCCCTTGGGAAAGTCCTGAGGCCCTAGAAGACATTTGCCGAAGAATTGGTCTCGGTCAGAAAGTTTGTGTCCCAATAGCCAGTGAGCAATGGATGCATTCTGTTTTGCTTCTAGGAATCAGTGCCTACCTGCGATTATAACCCACATGTTGTTAAACAGCATGTTTCCTTTTCATAACTTTTAGTTATTTTGCTTTTCCAGAAGAAGTGTTGAGCATGTGGGTTCTCTGTCCTTCTTGTGGTCCCGGCCCCAACTTTCAGGTGCAGATTCCTGGGGCTCACCAGCCCTGCTGACCCTGTGGGCCACCCCCTTTCCTGTCACAGTGGGCATGAGCACCACATTGCAGGGAGGTGGCAGGTTGTGCTCCTGACTGGAGCTGCAGCGTTCTGCACACCTCATGGGAACAGAGTGTTTGCTGAGCCAGTGGCTGAAAGCACAGAGCCCAGACCCCAGAGTCCATCCAAGGGGCCCCTTTGTATGGGGTCGGGTTGGGTGGCGTCACAGCACAGGCCTCGGAAGGTGGCCCAGAGTGCATCTGGCTGTCCTCCAGCGCTGAGCCTCCTCCCCCTGGGGCTGCTGTTGCCCTGGACCTTCTTCCTGCGTCCTGGAATGACGCTGAGCCTTCCTGGGAGCAGGGCAGCAGCAGAGCAGAGGCTCCTGAGCAGGAACGACCGACCCTGCCCCGCAGGACTGCTGTCGCCAGCTGGCAGGTGTCTCTGGGTCCTTCAGGCGCCAGGCACTCATGCTGTGTCATTTCTCAGGTCATTCTCCCAACAGCCCACCAGGGACGCCCAGTTACTTTCCCATTTCACAGAGTGGGAAACTGGCTCAGAGCCGTCCTGGGGTGACCAGCCAGAGGAAAGGCGAGCTGGGTCTAGGACCCCGTCTCCCTGACTCTGGATCATTTCTAACCACCATTCCACATGCAGCCTCCTGTGGCAGGGATTGTGGGTTCCCTGGCCTCTGTACCCTCTCTTCCTTCAGCCCCCTCTGAGCTTGGTGGGTGTAGCTGCCCTGTCTGCCCAGATAGCCAGCCTTGGGCACTGGGGCCC